TGGAAAGAATAATTTACACAACATCTGAAGTTTTCACGAACTCAAACTCACATTTTAAAGTACATAAATTTTTTTTGGGAGGCCAAGGAGCCAATTCCCCTTGTGTCCCTCCCTTGACAACAGTGGAAAAACACCCCTGAATCAATATTAATTGGAAAAAAAAAAAAAAGGAAGAAGAGGTGGGGAAGTTAAAACATTTAAAGTTACAGGAAAGAAAACATCTTTAGAAAAACACGATCACTGTCTCTTTAAAACAAAACCAAATCCCAGTTGGGCATAGTAACCATTGACTATGCAATCTAAATTGATACTCGATGGAGGCTTATTACTGAATATTATGTACACTCACAACTTTTTCATTTTCTTTTTTATTATGAACACCTAGGCAGTGAAAACTGTTATGTTAATACATACAATAGACACACCGAAAACATATAAAAATACTATTATTTCAAACTACTAAGAATAGGACAGTTCAATTATTTTCATGCTATGACTTTAAGAGCATTACACAGAAACAAACAAGAAGTTAAATGACTTTTTTAATATCCCAGAAATATACCAAAATATACATCTAAGCTTTGGAATTACTGAGGTTAGACTAATGCAAGTGCTGGGTAATCGTACTTAATACACAAGTCTAAGGTTCTGCAGGAGAGAAATTATCTTTGGTATCTGCATCAGGCTAATATTATTAACATTTGGATTTTGCTTTGGGATAGAGCTTGTATGACCCTAGAACCAAATACCCCCCTCCCCCAATTAACTGAGATTAAAAAGATCCATGTAAAAAGTTCCTTTGTTTGCAACCCCCCACCCCCCAAGTTAAAAAGTCACAGGCATCTACTTAGCACAAAGGTTGTGAAATACAATGCATAGTTGCACAGTGGTGCTGCAAAAAGGAAACATAACTACAATAAAAAAGAAATGAAAGGCTTGATAATCATTCTGCATGTTTTCTCACAAACAGGACAGCCACTTCCAAGCAGTTCCAGTAAAGGAAAAGACAGAAAAGGCTCAGAAGGGCCCCTCAGCATGTCCGCCCAGCCCCAGAGGTGAAAGCACCCAGCAGAGCAGCCAATTGTGCACCAGAGTCTTCAGCTTCCCCCACTCTGTGGAGTCCATGGGCAGGTCCAGCAGCAGCTCCCAGCTAAGTCCATGTGGACCCGGTTGTTGTCAGAGGGTTATGGTGAAGGGGTTTGGCTTTTGTTTTGGAAAAATCTGAAATGCCAATCTGTTCCATGCATGCTCACAAGTTGGCAAGGGACAAACTCCTGAGCATGCAGCTGCACAAAACCCCAAATGTGGAAATTAGCTTGAGTGCCCTTTCCATCCGGTCAGAATCCCTCCACCTTGCCCTGGCTTCATGCCTCTAAGTGCCAGGACGCCACAGACTGGATTGATGCCGAAGACTTCCCCTTTCTTTGGTTTTTTTGTTTGTTTTGAGTTTATACAATCATTAAGAAATCTTTGGTTTTGGCTGGAAATTTTAAAAACAAAACAAAACAAAACAAAGAAACCACCCTCCCCTGGCTTATAGCAGCAGAATTATGACCTGGCTAAGCGTTTTCTCAACTTTGGGGGTGGGAATTAAAGGTTGAGAACTACATTCGAAGAAAAGGTGGAAGGGCTGGGGATGCAGCTTCTAGAAAGCCTACTGAATATAAGATTGTCAAATAATAATAATATTAATAATAATAAGCAACTTAAATATTTGGATTTTTTTCTTTTTGGTCATGTCAAAGGAAAAAAAGTGAAATGTGTATGCAGACATCAGCTTAAAGGAAACTTTGGTGTCCTCCCTTCTACCCAAGTCCTGAAAATACACAGAACTTTGAGGCCTCAGAGGGAAGGGGGTAGCTTCTACCCTACCCAGGAAAAGGCAAAGACAGAAGGTGATGTGTGGCCCACAGTAAGAAATATGGGGTGGGTGGGGCGAGGACAACTGGCAGCCCTTAAAGGCAAGGTGGCAGAGAAACCAGATGTTAGGAGACCTGTAAGACCCCTCACAACAAAAAGAAACAGAAGATTGCAATTTGCCCTCAGTTTGCAGTAGCTTTAAAGCAGCAACATTCAGAGGCTTTAGGGGTCCCACCCTCTGCTACAGGTCTCATGATGCTATAGGCCAGAGTTCAACATTACTGAAGAGGAGGGAGAGAAGAGGGAGGGCGGAGTTGGCAACTCTGTAGGGTCAAGAGGAAGTTAAAGCAAGTTACTCAATCACGAGTTAGGAATGAGGTATACAACAGCTCCTGGACTTGTGGTGGGCAGAAAAGCCCACACTTACTCACCTAGCTACACCATAGACGAGGGGAATGACTGCGGCCTACTCTAGAAAGAGGCGTTTCCAGCAGAGTGAGACTTCCTGTGGACTGACTAATGCACACATGCCCACACAAGCAGAGGTAAGAAGCTGGAAGAAGTCTTTCTCTCTCCCATTTGATCTTAGAGGAGACACACCATTATGTTGTACAAAGTCGATGTTATAATATGGTTGCAGTCTTGTGATTACTTTCTTTCTTGTTTTTTTTTTGGTGGGACTAGGGTTTAACTCAGGGCTTTGTGCTTGCAAAGCAGGCACTCTACTGTTTGAGCCACACATCCAGTCCATTTTGCTCTGGTTATTTTGAGATGGGGCTTGCAAACTATTGGCCTGGGCTGGCCTTAAGCTGTGATCCTTCTGATCTCAGCCTCCCAAGCAGTTAGGATTACAGGCATGAGCCACTGGCACCTAGTGATCTCTTTCTTTCTTTTCTCCAATTGTTTGCAGTTTTGAACCCAATTAGGCTGGCACTAATCCACTCTACTCTTAGAAAGAACACGCCTTCTGCAGACTCATGTAGGAATGGAACCAAAGACATGGCACCCCCCCCTCCCCTCCCAACTGGCCTACAACTATAGTGTACCTAAGAGACACTGTCATTTCAGATTCTGAAAGTGCATTTTTTTTCCTGTATTTTTCAGACCTTGAGACACTATTAGGGCTAGATGGGAGTTGGGTCTGTCCATTTTTATTTGAAACAGATAGCAATTTTAAGGAACTAAGTATTTATATGTTGCATTTTTAAACAGTACTGTGTCTGGTTATCTGCCTGCAGACTTTGGGATATATTATTGGAGAAGCCAATGCCACTGCCAATTTATGAAAGAAGCCCTAATGTGCTTTTGTGAGGTGGTAGCCAAGTTAAATAATGATGAATGAGTAAACAAAGAAAACACTGCAGCAGACCTCAACCTTTTTTTTTTTAAACAGTAAATTAGTTTAGGGTCTAGGTTTGACAGCGTCCTGGGTTTGAACCAGAGGTGGTATGGGATGGTGGAGCCCTGTGCAGTGTGGGCAGACTCAGGGGCACAGAAAGAATCATAAACCATGTCTGTCCTTCCAGGCCACAGGGAGCTTCATTTTCATGCTCCAAGTGCTTATAATGCACACTTTGTTTTCCCGTCTTTAATATCCCTATCACCTTATAAACCTATCTAGTGATGTGAACAGTCACAAAGGTCAGAACAGTAAGATTATTAGTGAAGCTTTCATGAAGTTCTGCAACCTGATCTTTTCTGATGGGCAATTAGAGTACGTCTTTTCCTCTTTCCCTGTTTGTGTCCTATTAATAGCACACCTAAACAATGACCAACTCAATTTCCTAAGCCCGTATCATAAAAACGTTGTGGAACAAAACAGCTCTACAGAAGAATAAGGGAAGATCTTTTACTTTTTCACGAAATCCTGCTCTTGAAAATATTTCTTTACAAAAGACGAAACAAAGATACCACATCTAATATGGACTCAAACAGGCTGGACTGGCTCTATTTATAAATATTAGATACACGGAAATAAAGAATTCTACCCTATTTTTTGTCCTCCTAAAGTTTCTCAGCAATTCCAAGAACATCAATGCTACACTGAGCAACTCTATCCATCTATACAGAGCCACTGGAGTGAAACAAAATCAATCTCTTTTCCAAAGGCAGACACACTAATATGACTTCTTTCAAAAAGTGGGGAAGGAGGGAGGGAAAAGGGAAGAATCAAAGTAAAGCTTTTCCAAATTTCAACTTTTTGCTCCTAGACCCTCTGTTTTGAAAATGTAAGGATGAGTAATGGCATATCAATCTTTGGTATACAAATCAAATTCCACTTAAATTCTGTGAGATGGATCATTTACTTAAAAAAAAAAAAAAGCTGCTCTGGAGATAATAGTCTATATCTGAACTCAGAGAGCCAACAAAGTTTGTCCCCAAATATGGGCAGAAAAGGCTCTTTATTTTTCCTAAACTGGCATCATTTCTCATTCACATTCTAACAAAGAACAATACTTTCCTTTTCCTACCAACCAACCAGTCCTTACAGGTCATACCTTATTACAAGTGTAAAGTGAGCAGGTGAGCTTTCAGCTTCATGGTTTGCTTGTGTTTTTGATCTAGGCAGAACTAGTCTTGGTATGAGAGAAGAAAGTAAGGTTTTAAGATGTTGGGCTACTAGCACAACATTCAGCAATATGACAAAGGGTGACAAAAAGAACTTGTTTCACTTAATTTTCCTGTATCAGTATACATCAATCACCTCTCTGCTCCTCTCCAAATTCATTGGTGCATGTCTATTTCTGTTTCTACTTCTCATCCACACACCCAGATATGCACACATTCATCCTTTACTTAAGCTCTTGCTATGTACAGAGGTAATGAATCATTAGGACAGGCTGGCAGGTCTGGGGGGCATGGCAGCCACAGAAGGGTTGTATATGCACCCTTAGGAACCCTGAACCTACTGGATACCCCACATGTCACCTGCATGCCACCACATATTATGCTGCAGATCAGACCAAAGAGATGTCAAAAAATCCCAAAACCAATCACAGGGAATATCAAGTTTCCTTTGGCAAGACAGACATAAAGAAAAACAAACACACAAGTAACATTTTCCTTCTAACATAATCAACTTCTTTTTCCCCACCCTAACCCTCCCTAACCCTATAAATTGTAACCTATAAACAGCATCAATCATGTTTATCAATCATAATAAACATTAGTTTAACTAAATACTACAGCTATAATTATTTCCACTATTTATAAAGTTTCTTTTCTTTTATTGATTTGGTTTTTAGTTTAAAACCAGTTCTGCAACAATGTTAAACTATGCTGAGGTATTTTATGAAGGTGCCAGAAGCTAGCTGTTACCCAGGAGCATTATCCTCACAGACTAAGGTACCACCATTCAAAGAGAAAAAGACAGGAAGAAAAAGAGGAAGGGAGATCAAGATTATTGTATTAACATAAGATTTGCTGAAATGTACTGCTTTTAGCAAAGGCTAAGGGCAGAAAAGCCAGAATAAGAAATTATTCTATGAATAAGAACACTTAGAAGAAAGCCACAGTTCACAAACCATATAGAAAACTGGGTGCAAACTGGACAACTCTTGAGAAACATTCCCTGTTTTCCTGATAGAATCCTTTCAAGTGAAATTTCAGAGGTGTCTCAGTATCTTTGGATTAAGAAAAAGATGGGGCAGGATAGCATTCCTTATAGCCTTTAATGATGAAAGCAATTTATTTATCCTATTCCTGACCAAGTCCATAATTGTGTTGGAGTGCTGTCCATGCAAACCTACCAAAAGCTTATATCTTAGTTGTTCTTCTAGAGGAATGGCAAGGAAAGATTTTCTTCCTTCTCAATGTTGAAGACAAATACTATGAAAATTTACCATTTTATAAAGTGTCTGAAAATGATTTCAAAGTGCCAGGGCTATAGTTTCACAAATAACGTGACCCAATAAATGCTGTTCACACATGGATACATAAGTGAACTCAATGGTTATAAGTAAATTAATTAATCAATTCTTGCCCAAATGGGTAATTTTAAGTTTCAGGTCTTTAGGCCTTTTTCTCCCATTAGTACTAGCAGTCTTTTTCTTTTTTTTTCAGCTCTAATAGTTTGAAGAGTAAGTACACTTTAAATTCTTGAAGTTTAGAATTCGAGGCCCTTCTTTAATAAGGGTTATCAGGTTGCAGACTAGTCTGTGGGGCTCCTCAGGGCCATGGCAGGCTGTCAGTAGGAGATCTGTGGGATGACATGGCTTGGGAAGAACTTTAGACTGAACCACAGAGTTCTCTATAAGCCAAGTGTTTATTATATATTATATACTAATTGCAGTATTACCTATCAGGATTTTGTACTTTTAAAACTGACATACATTCCCTATATTTGCCAATATATCTGACATTTCCAGAAACTTAAGTAGAATTTAATGTTAAAGATTAGGCTGAATTGAAATACTGTGTCAAGCAAGTATCTGTGCTTCTGGATAATAGAATTTTTCCCTCTTTCCAATTAAATGAAGAATAATGGACAAAATAACATTAAAAAGAGGTATAATTGTGCTTTCACAACAAATGAATGATGTAAAACATACTGGCAAGATGATCACACCAAAAATCTTTTAATTGTTCTTTTCCCTTTTAAAAAACTGTTAATTTCTAATAAAGCTACCATGAAGTATAAATAGGTATTGTCATGCCCCAAATGAAAGTTAGATTCCTTTGGTTCCATTCTTGAGTAACAAGTTGAATAAACTGGGATGGTACTAACCTTTCAGACAATAAATAAAAGGAAGTGTGTATTGTATCAGTTAAGAGGCATAATTCTGAAAAGGTGCCTACAGAACTTCAGAAACGTTTAAATTAACGGAGCTTAGAACAATAATGCTCCTGTGAGAAGCCCTTTTTTAGATCTTTCTGTTCTGTCCCTTCAGATTTACACAGGGTATATAAATAAAGTTCATGACCAAACTGCATCGCTTATGATAACAGATTTAAATAATTACATTCACTACTCCCTAGGGAGAGCCCATTACCATGGGCAAATGTAGAATTCCTATAAATGCATTTAAAATTAGTCTTTGGCTTAATATGTGTTACCAAATTGAGGGATGAAATGAAACTTGCATAACTGTTAAGAGGAAGAAGAGATCTGAACAATGAATTGTAATGGCCTATCTGGTGTTTCCTCTTAAATATCAGATACTGCAACAAATACCTCTTTTTTTTTGGTCAAATAGCCCCTTTAGTTTCCAGACTCCCCCAATAAAATGTGGCTAAAAGTTAAGTCTGAGTACCTTAGCTTAGGAGATAGTTCATTCAATTCAAGAAGTATTTCTTGAGATGATAAAAAAAAAAGATGAGATAAAACAAACAGAAGAGGACCAAGGTATTTGTGAAACAATATCATCTACAGAATATCTAGGGATGGGAGGTGATTTTAAAGTAAACACTTTCCAGCAAGCTATATTAGTGTTTCATGTGTACATGTGTAAAGTACCTTTCACAACAACTTATTTCTAATGATAAAAGAGAACAAATTTAAAATTATCTTTGTCTAAAGATTTAGTTTTTCTTTTCCACACAGATTTTTTTATGCTGGTTTAAGGTGATACACGTAAAAAAGGCAGAATCCCTTTTCCCGAACTGACTGGTGAATATAGACAGAGGAGGAACTAAAAGACGACTGCACTGACATTTAAAGCTTATTATCTTCTTTAATCATAAAGTGTGCTGGGGAATCTTATTTAGGGAAGGGATCATCTTTAAAAAAATCGTATCGAAAACAAAATAGTCTTCCTTATATGTCCTCTTAACTCACTGGGTTGGAGTTCCTTGGGACTTGACATTTCCTTTGGTAGCAATTTTGGGAAATTCATACTATAACTTCTAATGCAGTATGTTGGGCATCAGCATTTCCCTCCCTGAATCCTTCCTCCTAACTTCCTCCACTCTCAAAGGAGGGACTCATTACTATGGGCAACTACAGTATTGTTGATAACCCTAAAATCATTTTCAGACTAAAGTTAGAGATGTAAAGTCAGTATAAAAGATTAAATTTAACTACAATAGAGAAAAAAGCTGATGGAGAGGAGAGAAATTAGTAACTGACATGCCATTCTATTTACACACCAATCTAAACAAACTAGTTAAAAATCAAGGTATTGTCTGCCCAGAGGATATTACAATTTATCAACATAAAAGATTAAAAACAAGCAGCAACTTTTATATAAAATTAATAAAGACAATGAAAAGGAAATTGTCAGTAGCATCTATCTCCTCAATGTGTCTGAACTGCATGTTACAAACTAGTTCATTAGTACAGCAGCTTGCTAAAAATTGACTTTGGTTCAAGCTTAGTTTAAAAAAAAAAAAACATAGAAAAACACACCACACAAAAAAGGTGGATGGGCATTTGTTAGATTCCCTGCTTGCAGTTCACTGATTTTAGAGGGATTTTAGGGAAAGTAGTAGGCAAAAGGAAATTTAGGGATGATAATTAAATACTTTGAGAAATAAAACAAGACAAGGAACTAAAGGGAAATTTAAAAGGGGACTAAAATGTTTCTTACTTTTAGTATTAAGACTGTCTCCCACTTGGATCACAAAAAAAGGTACACATTTGTGACTGTGTTACCGCCTTTCTGAGCAACAGAGAGACAAATACATGGAATCCAAGCTCTCTTGTGGACATAAGCAAAACAATCAGGAGGAAAATCACCTGTAAGCTCTCTCAACCCCCAGTTCAAAAAGGGGACAAAGTGCAGACCACAGGAGATTTAAGCAAGCACCCCCAGACATCAAATGGGAACCTTTAACTCCAATAAGAAAGGGAACTAAGATGAGCACTGCAGTGATCCAGTCTTTTGGGAAAGTTTTGGTACAGATAGTGTAACAGGACAGTGGCAAAAAGGGGAATTTAATCTCTAAATTACCCTCTTTCCTCTTCATCCATTTTCACAAGCTCTTCCTTTTCAATAGGCTCATTTATGTAGTCTAGAGACACCCTGAAAACAATTACAGGAGCAAATCACTTTTACGTCAAATAAAGAGAAGTGTTTGTCATTAAACCTTCCTAGCAGGAGCATCAGAGACAAGCCAGGAGACACGTACGGTGTGTGCAAAGCTCCTGCTCAGCATTTCTTCAAAGGTTCTATGGATCCCACGCCCAGCCAGTAAGTGCCTCCTTTAGTCAGAGAACTGAGAAGAATCTCAGGATTAGAGAAGTTTATAAATCATCCAGTGGACAGAGAGTCTGCAGCTCTCCACAGGAAAAGGTGGCAACCTCAGGCTTTCTTAGTAACCTCTTTTGGGTTTATAATTGGCGGAAAATAGTCTAGTAGAATTCCTTTAGAAAACAAGGAAGGGAAAAGTTTCCCAGTTTCAATAAGTCAATTTCTTCTTTGCCAAGTAAGTCAAAGGAAGTTTGGGTGAAAAACTTTCATAAAAGGGAACAAACAAACAAATACACCAACAGTAGGACCATTTTTCAGAGATAAGAAGTTAGGAGAACCACCAAGTTAGGTGTCTGCAGTAGTCTTTGCTCTTCGGAACCAAATCCTGCCCTGCAACATGTACAGCTGTTCCCATTGAAAGTAGCAGAAAGCAGCACTGTTGCACCACAGGATCTGGGCCTCAGGGTCATTCAATGATCTGGGGGTGAGTGAGAGCTACAGTTCAGCAGGAATTCCTTCCTACACAAAAGTGCTCCAAAGGCACCACCTGATGGGGGAGGGGCGTGTGTGGAGTAGGAGTGTTTGCACACACTGCCTTCAGCTTCTGCACCAAGCCTCTTGCATAAGTGGCAAAAGAAAATAATTTTCTAGCACCTCTGTAAGAGTCATCAAGGATAAGGAAACCAGCAAGAACATTTCCTGCAGTTAAGAACGCAAGTCTCCCCTTACCCCAAACCCCCTCCCCACAGTGTGGGAGCTCACTGAAATAGGATCCAGGAGCAAGAGATAAACATGTCCCAACATATATATATATATATATATATATATATATATACATATATATATATGTATGTATATATAGATATATAAAAACAACAACAACAATAATAATAGAGATACAGTAATACAGGCCTGCCTAAATTGTACCAGTTAAGAAAGGAACCCCCAACACAATTGATACGATTATAAACACCTTGTTATGACTTAATGGCCTGTACAACAGACCCATATAAATGATTTTTTTTAAGAAAAAAAGAAATTTAGACAAATGAGAAATCCTCTTCCTATATTGGAATTGGTAACCCACCTTAACGTGTCATCATGACTGCTGGAAATGATAAGTAGTCCTTTCACTTATTTTTGTTTTTTGTTTTTTTTTTTTGTTTTTTTTTGTTTTTTTTAATATTTGGTTAGAAAGTTCTCCAATCCATGAAGCAATCCTGAAAAGACAGTGTTTTATTACAAAATTAGGCAAATGTTCTCCTGTCTCCATCCTTTTTCTGGTTTTATTTTATTTTATTTTTTTCTTCTCTCCCTTGTCTCTCTTGCCCTTGCAACATGGTGAGAGGAAGCCAATCACATTTGTCAGTTTATTAACTGGCTGGCAGCCTGATCATGTTGCAAAGACTTGTGGCAGCCCAGCTCGTGCCTAATTCACTGTGCCTTGGAGGCGGTGGTGGTGGTGGAAGCAGCCCCGCTGGCAGAGGCCACTGTGAAGAGAGAGTTCTGGATGGACTCAGCTGAGGTGGAGGAGGCATGAAGGCTGGCTACAGGTGTGGAGTTCCCTGTGGAGGCTGCAGCGGCAGAAACCAAGCTAACTGGGTTGCTGGTGAGCAGAGAAAGATTCTGAGGGTTCAGGAACAGAGGGGCAGTCACGATGTTGGGGGCTCCTCCTGCATTGGCAAATACCAGGTTCCCAGTTGCATCCAGTGATGTTATTGGAAGAGAGCCACCAGAAGCAAGAGCTACAGACAAAAACCGAGAAAAAAAAAAACATGTGAAAGACACTGTTAACATCATCATGGAGACGCAAATAACAAATCATCAAAGCTCTACTGAGTCTTACTGTAACTCAGTAGGAAAAAGTACAGCTCTTCACTGATTTTTTTTTCATTATGTTGTATATTGATACCAACTGAAATTTATTTATAATTCTGAAGAATGTGAAGAAATGAAAAGTCAATTTATGAGTATAAAGAGGACAGGTTAAAGGGGAGAGTTATATAAGAACTGTTTAATGAACCAGAGTCATGTTTCTATTTTTAAATTGCAAGTTTATATCATTTACCCAGAAATAATTGTCTTCAATGAAGAATGCTGATTTTAAACTATCTCCATTCAAAATACAAATTAAAACGATTAAAAATTTAAAATACATTTAGCTTTTATCAAATTAACTGATATAAATTTGAGCAAATTCTTGATAGTAAAATTAGAAATCACCAAATAAGATAGAAGGTATGATTAATTTTTCACTTCAACTTCTGTAACCTGTGCAAAGGGGGATGATGAGTTTATTGTAGAAGGAAATCAGAATCACAATGATGTAGATAAATGGGACCTCATAAAACTAAAAAGCTTCTGTTCATCAAAAGAAATGGTCTCTAAACTGAAGAGAACACCCACAGAGTGGGAGAAAATATTTGCCAACTATACATCAGACAAAGGACTGATAACCAGAATATACAGGGAACTTAAAAAACTAAATTCTCCCAAAACTAATGAACCAATAAAGAAATGGGCACATGAACTAAACAGAACTTTCTCAAAAGAAGAAATTCAAATGGCCAAAAAACACATGAAAAAATGCTCACCATCTCTAGCAATAAAGGAAATGCAAATTAAAACCACACTAAGATTCCACCTCACCCCTGTTAGAATAGCCATCATCAGCAACACCACCAACAACAGGTGTTGGCGAGGATGCGGGGAAAAAGGAACCCTCTTACACTGTTGGTGGGAATGTAGACTAGTACAACCACTCTGGAAAAAAATTTGGAGGCTACTTAAAAAGCTGGACATCGATCTACCATTTGATCCAGCAATACCACTCTTGGGGATATACCCAAAAGACTGTTACTCCAGAGGCACCTGCACATCCATGTTTATTGCAGCACTATTCACAATAGCCAAGTTATGGAAACAGCCAAGATGCCCCAGCACTGACGAATGGATTAAGAAAATGTGGTATCTATACACAATGGAATTTTATGCAGCCATGAAGAACGAAATGTTATCATTCGCTGGTAAATGGATGGAATTGGAGAACATCATTCTGAGTGAGGTTAGCCTGGCTCAAAAGACCAAAAATCGTATGTTCTCCCTCATATGTGGACATTAGATCAAGGGCAAACACAACAAGGGGATTGGACTTTGAGCACATGATAAAAGCGAGAGCACACAAGGGAGGGGTGAGGATAGGTAAGACACCTAAAAAATTAGCTAGCATTTGTTGCCCTTAACGCAGAGAAACTAAAGCAGATACCTTAAAGCAACTGAGGCCAATAGGAAAAGGGGAACAGGTACTAGAGAAAAGGTTAGATCAAAAAGAATTAACCTAGAAGGTAACACCCACGCACAGGAAATCAATGTGAGTCAATGCCCTGTATAGCTATCCTTATCTCAACTAGCAAAAACCCTTGTTCCTTCCTATTATTGCTTATATTCTCTCTACAACAAAATTAGAAATAAGGGCAAAATAGTTTCTGCTGGGTATTGAGGGGGGGGGCGGAGAGGGAGGGGGCGGAGTGGGTGGTAAGGGAGGGGGTGGGGGCAGGGGGGAGAAATGAACCAAGCCTTGTATGCACATATGAATAATAAAAGAAAAATGAAAAAAAAAAAAAAGAATCACAATGATGTAGGAGGCCCTAGGTAGGTAATCTGAGCATAGGACTTGGTAGTTAATAGGGGAGAACTTTTCTGTGATGATTCCCCATAGATGTTATCATCAAAATTTTATTTAAAATAATTAATTAGGACTTTCACTTACTAGTTTATCCTGTTATTTGACAATACTTTCAAATCCCCCCACTAACATAACTCACCCCCACATGCAGATTTGGGGGTTTTTCTAATGGCATTAAAAATTTGGTTGACTTCTTACATAATATATAGCAGAAAGGAATGACTCTGGACACAATCATATAAATAACAGAGATCTGGTGCAGCTTGAAGTTTTCTGAGATTCTAGGCTCCCAGTCATATACTAATCTTAGATCTTTCCAGAGAGTGGCCTATGGTCACTCGAATCTTGGGGAAGGCCTTTGTAGTATCCCCGAAGCCCAGAGACATTCCCTAATGCAGGAGAAAAAGTGATTTAACACAAATCATATTCCAAAAAAGAAATCCTTGTATAATGAAAGCTTTACAGATTTAATCATCAATTCAGATATAATTCAATCAATCAGAAAGTCAACATAAGGCAGTGTAGGCCATGATTTAGTTTTGCCAGCAGTGTAACATTCTCTATAGTACACTGTTCAGACAGTGATCATAATTGAAGCCTAACAGCTTATTTTTGGCCTGGAGAGCTCCTGTTTAAGCACAAAGTATTTTGATTTTAAGAAAAAAGTTCTCTCATTAATACAGTGATAGTTCCCTAAATGACATAGCAGCAAGCATCATTCAGACATAAAGCTTAGATGCTAACCAAAGCAGACCCTTCACTATATGGATTGAATATTACCTTGAATAACATGCTAGAAGTTATAACTAACACAGACCCAAACTGGCCTGGAAAATAAGTACTATAATCCAATAGAAATATAGGCTCTGCCCTGATGGGGATATAAGAGCAGACCCTAACAAGAATTTTAAAAACCCTGGAAATCCATCTGATATGCTCTATTTATTGGCTATCTTAGGGTGAGGATAGGGTCTGGGACTCTTACTTGGCCAAGTTTGTTTTGAGGCAGGTTTTAGATGAATACTTGGATAGAGACAGAGAAAAAAAAATTCTGCCTCCAAGTCTACTCACACAGGATGATAAATATTAGCATAAAAGTCCTAGTTTCTTTGACTATACCAAATTATGTATTATTTCCTATTTTTACAAACTAACACCTATACTTTTACAAAGCTTTTTTACAAGAACATTTTCTTGCTCCTCAAGGACATGTTAGTCAGCATTCAACTATCATCTCTCCTCTTCATGCTCACCCATAGCAAAGCAGGCATCTTCTACCACAACCACCCCCATCCCCACCCTCACCCCCACAAGCCGAGCAAGGAAAAGATCTTACTGACCTTGAATAGTTGCCAGTGTACTGTTGTTCATCAGAGCTGGGCTGAGAGCACCACCCAGAGTCCCTGGATTGAGACTGAGTAAGGCACCTCTGCAAGTCCAAAAGAGGGGCCACTTTATTACTATGCAGACACATTTGTCAGTCTGGCAATATAGCCAAAGGCATAATAAAAGGAAAATTTCAGGTAGGGGAAGTATATGGGAATCTTTGTTATTTTCCCCACATTTTTATATGGCTCTGTTTGTGCTTCTGAGTTACTGCTTTCCTTGATGCTTGCTTGTAACAAATGAGGTTATAATCTGCACAAAATGTAAAACTTTTAAGTTATTCTGACTCTTCTTTGAATTATTTCTATTTTTCTAAAATAAAAGGATAATTATTATATTTGACAATAAAAAAATAAAATTGGAAACCTCCTTACTCCTTATTCATATTTGAGAATAAAGCTGATAAAAGTTTAATGGAGAAAGCATAAGAGCAGAAACTCTGCACTTTCTTTCTGGCTTCATCACTGAGGAACTCAGAGACCTGGTGTTTTGTCTTCATGTGGAAATAAAGGTGTGACTACTGCCCTTCCCAGACTGCTAAGAAACTTAGGTCTGACTTTAAAATCAAGGTTTTTGGATGACTGCATAGCAGCCCATTTCACAGAGATTATCTTCTCATTTTAAGATGGTGATGAAAAGTCTCTCCCATGAGTAATTCCAGGGATGACTTCCAAGTTGCTTTGTGGATATGAATGGAACGAGAAAGCTTCTTACCCAGCTGCAAACTGTGAGGGTGCCATCAGGCCTGGGTTGAGTCCTGCAGCAGCAGCCATGGCGGCAAGACTGGCATTTGCTGGCAGCTGTGTAGCTCCTTGCAGAGCAGCCGCTGCTGCTGTTTGCAAGCCTGATGCTGTCACCATCACCTGGCTGGTTCCAAGAGGGGAGGACAAAGGAGTGGAGGTGGTCTGTGTTGTGCTGGTCTCACTGGCACTGGATGCCTCGGATGTGGAGGCTGAGGCAGAAGGGGAAGGACTCAAGGAGGGTGATGCGACTGCTGAGGGAGCAGGGGGTGCTGTAGAAATCACGGTGGCTGTGTTGTTGGGGGTGGTGTCTGTAGTGCCTGAAAGAGAAGAGAATTAGAAAATAACCTTCTGTAAATGGTTTTGGAAGACTGGTGACTTCATTTTAGCAGCACTTCAGAATCAAGGAAATAATTAACCTACCATACAGTCATCCTCAATTTGTCCTTTTTATTAACCTACTTTAGTGTTTCTATGGAAATTAACCACAAAAATAAACATCTTAAAACCAAAGCCATGAATCTTACTTTAAGAGACAAGAGCAATAATGTAACTATGAAAGAAACACATAATAGTTTTCATTGCCAATTTCCTATAAAAAAGAAAAAGAATCTATGAAGCTCAATTTATGGGATACAATTGCTCTGTGAAAGAAACATGAGAAAAAGGGCAGCTTTTGGAAAGCCCGTTTTCATTCACAAATGTCCTTAGTAGTCTTCACAGAAAAATCAAAATGAGGACAAGAAAAACAGAAAGTTATACACTTATCTCAAAACAAGTTATCAATAAGAAGATACACAGAAATGGAAATGGCTGGGAATGTAGCTCAGTAGAACCAAGAATGTGTAAGGCTCTGGGATCAGTTCTTAGCACTGAAAAATAAAACAACCCCCCCCACAGGAACAGTATAAAAGAACTAATAGTAAAGTCTACATGCCTTCTTTGTTTTACTTCAGATAACTATTCTTTAAGGAAAATCAGCTCTCAAAAAGCTCACTGTAGTAAACATTTTCTTATTCATGGAAACAAATTTCATAAAAGTGAGTAGGAAAAATGAAGAGCTGAGAAACTCACATGAGAGGCTTTAAAAAAACAAAGATCAAGGTGTCTAGATTTCTTTTTGTTTTAAGAAGAGCAAATATTTGGATGCAAATGACTAACTGACATTAAAAATATTAAAACACATTCACTAGGATTATTTTAAGTTTCAGATCAGCACTGTCCAATAGAAATTAAATATGTAATTAAAAAAATTTCTAGTAGCCCCATTAAAAATAGTAAAAAGAAATGGGCAAAATTAAATCCTATTTTATCCAATAGATACAATGGTATGCATCTTATAATTTTGGCACATCTGAACTAGCCGTGTTTTAAATGCTCAAAAGCCACATGTGATGAGTGAATGCCATACGGGTACCATAAATCTAAAGTGTGTTTGGAAGTTGGTGTGTTGGGTTCTACACATAAGTAAAACCCAATACCAAAGAATGTAGCCACTCTGCCTAAAGTAGAAATGGCTCACAAGGCTCTCATAGGAATGAAAACCTTCCACAAAGCAGAAGATACCAATGACACAGTGAGCCACGATTCTGATGCTATCTATGTGAGACAGTATAGAATAGGCGCCATTAAATACTACATAGTTCATAAAACACACTGTCTAAAGCTAGCCAGAATTTAGTTTAGTGAAACTCACTATGTTCGAGGATATAATCAACATTATGTATGTCCAAAGCAGAACCTAAGTGCTATTTTCTCTGAAGAGAGAAACCAAAAAGACAAAAAGCACAACTATCTATTTTCAATATAGTAGTTCTGTAATATATAATAGACTTCAATATATTGTGAAATAAGCAGACCAATCAAAATAAATTATCTCAAGCCTGTAAGTGTCTGATACATTGGAAAAATCTTAGCCTTTTCTTGGTGATAAAAATCTATTACTAAGCTGTAGAAGATTCTTCTCTGGTAATGGTCTTATCAGGCTTTTTAATTTTTTTTTTTTTTTTGTGGTACTACTGGCTTTACACTTGCTAGGCAGGCACTCTATCACTTGGGCCACTCCTCCAGCCACATTCAGGCAGTTTTGTCTTTGCAAAATTTGTTCTGAAGCTGCCTCCTGGCGTGTACTAAGAACACCTAGAATTCAACTCTTTTCATTGTCACTGTGCAGTTTTTTTTCATGTCACCCAAGCTGGGAGGGCCTCAGCTATCATGAAATATTAGCAGGGATTCTGCTTTCCTGACGTACAAAATGTGGATGTAGTCTCTGACTAAATGAGGGAAACATAGCTTCCCTAATGTTAATTGAAAAGGGAAGATTTAGTCATCCTTCTGTCCTTCTCAAAAGTATAAATAAGATGATTTCTTCTTATTGTAGCTGTTCCTAAATACAATTACATCTTTGTGGATATTATGAATCCCATTCTTTTCTTTCTTAGCATATATTAATTGTACAAAAGGCTTCATTATGGTGTTTTCATACATGTATAAAATGTACTTTGATGGAATTTACCCCCTCTATTACTTTTTTATCCCCCCCTCAAAACAATTTTAAATGGGCTTTATTATTCTATTTTCATTCATACATATAAAGTACTTGACAGTCCCAGTTTTACATTCATGAGTGTAAAAATCCTTTATCACTCATTATTTCTTCAGTTCTAAATCTTATCAGACCAATCCCTGTCCCTGAGCACCTGAGGCTGTGGTGGTTCCTGTGTTTGGCATATTCATACATATTTTCCACTTGTAGCCTCTTCTTGTTCTATAGGAAAATAAACATCTTTTCTTATTCCTCTCCTACTGCTAAGAAATTTGAATGTACTTTCAAACTTTTCTTGACCAATTGCTTACCTTATCTAACCTAATTTTACCTGTAGTGCTATTCCCTTTTCCAAGTTCTGAAACTGAAATTGCCCATTTTCATAAAACCTCAAATTTTGAGGTCAAAAGGCTTAAAGTGGTTTTCTTTCCTCTCCAATGCCATTTTTCAAATCACTTAATATCTTTCTTTAAATCCCACAGGCTTACAAAGAAAAGCCCAGTTAAATCTCAACAATGCATTTAATGTAATATTCGGTTGTTTTCCCTGACTGAACACTAGAGGTCTCCAATTTAAATATCATATAAGCACTGATACAGCAACTCTACATGATCTTTAATTCTTCTAGCCAGGGAGTCATGCTTTAATCAACATATCTCTTTTATGATCCTGAATTCTTGGCAACATAATGACTTGGGCAACTTTGATCAGAGAACTTAGACCTGCTGAGCCTCAATACCCTTAACAAAATAAGATGCCACCATCCATTTCACAGGGTTAGTAGAAAGTCAGAACCAAGCATGTGTAGAGCGGTCAGTGTCTTCTCTTGCTTTCCACCCTGTTTTTTTTAAATAAACAGCTTTACTGAAGTTCAGCTTACATACTATAAATTTATCCAATTTAAATGTAAAATTCAATCATTTTAAAAAATCAATTTGTAGAGTTGTACTACCTACACCACAATCTAGATTATGATATTTCTACTACCAAAAAGGATCCTTTCTGCCTGTTTGTACTTACTTCTCACTCCTACCTACCTTGTCGTGGACATTTTACATAAATGGAATCACACAATATGTAGTTTTTTGCAGTTGGCTTCTTTTACTTAATATTTTGTTTACAAAGCTTATTCATGTAAAAGCAGCAATCAATACTTCATTATTTTTTATGGCTCAATAAGATTCTACTGTGTAGATATCACATTTTGTGTATTCATTCACCAGTTGAGGGGCAGTGGCCTATTTCCAGTTTTTGGCTATTCACTGCTTATATTAACATGTAAAGCTGTTTTGTGTGAATGTTTTCATTTCATCCTACCTCTGGTAAAGTAGTAAATTTATGTTTAAGTTACAAAGAAACTGCCAATGTAGTTGTATCACTTTACATTCCCACAAACAATGCAATATGAATTGTAATTTCTCCACATCCTCACCCACACTTGTCTTTAGTTTTTTGTCTTGTTTTTGACCATAGCCACAGTGAGTATTAAGTAGTAGCTCATTATGATTTTAATATGAATTTCTCTAATAAGTAATAATGTTGAGTACTGTGCTTATTAATCACTCATAAATCTTCCTTGGTAAAATGTGTATTAAAATATTTTGCTCAGGCAGGAGCTGCTTTGCAAGAGATTGAATGTTTTCAACAACGTTGGAAATGGCAGAACTATCCAAGCTGTATGAAAAGAACAGTGACCTAGGAGCGTAACCTTCACACATGGAAGTAGACACTGGGAGCAGGGAAGCATCACTGAGCTCTTCCAGCAACAGGCCCTGCCACAGCTGGAGGAGGTGGCCCAGCTAGTGGAAGCACCAAAGGGGAAACAGCCTAACTAACAGGCTCAACTCTGGAGAGCAGCTGGGCCAGGCTAGGGGGTGGTGGGGGATGTGTAAGATTTTAAGAGTAAGTAATGTGATGATAGGGAGGATGACCACAACTATCTGGAAGAAGAGCAGCTGAGTGGTGCCAGCTACAGAGTATCAGTAACCCTTGAAGAAGCCAACAAGATGTTTCTGAGACCATTTTAGCCAGAGAAGCACCTCTGAATGGTAGGTTTCAGATGGATTATGAGAAGAGCCTGAATGATCAGTTAGCTTTTATTGAAGAGCTTTTTTCATTTATGGTTGTCAATCATCTGTCTGAAGAATTGGGTTGTGATGAGATCACTGATAGAGCGTAGATGCTAAAAATGAGGAGGAAACTACTTGAGGAGAGATTCAACATTCAGCTATCTTTTGCATTCACTGCAAATAGTTCTCTGCCAGTGAAAAACTTGATCTTCAGGGGAAGAAAAAGGGACAATGACTGACTACATGGTTATGAAAATAGAAAAGAATCATGAAAGAAAAGGGATCTTAGGACTGTTGAAATCTGTTTACAAAAATGTCCTGGGATACCTGTGGCTTTGATTCTTGTTATTGACCAAGATTATTTTCCTTGTGTTGGGGAATGTATCTTTTGTATATGTTCCATTGTAAAGATGTTTTTTCCAAGAGCAAATCATGACCAAGACAAATTTCTAATATAAGAGTTCAATGACACCAATTATATAATGAGAAGAAAGAAATATATCCACAAAATATCTTTGAGTTACTTGGACTGAAAGTCTGTTGAGAAAACTTAAAATTCACTGTGACAAGGTAGAAAGAAACCTTCAGGAAGCATAAAACACATGATTATGACTTCAATGCATTTACTTTTCTTTTTTTTTTTGGTGGTGTAGGAGATTGAACCTAGGGCCTTGTACTTACTCCTATATACAATGATCTAAATCAG